ACATAAGATCACCGATTCTATCATCCAATTCTTGCTAATTCCTCAAAAATATTTCAAACACTCTAAGGTTCCTTGAAAATATTTCAAACACTCCAAGGGATTTTTCACATGGACGATTCCATCTCCCACGAACTTGCACGAAAAGCCCCAATTCAACAAATAATTTTAGAGGAGAAACTCGATGGTTTTTCCCAGATGAAGACCCCTACAATTCTCAACCCAAACCAATTAGAAATCCCCAATTATTAGTATAGATGGCACCCCAATGGAACATCATCACGATGTAATGTTGGTGTGTATGCATAGATTGGAATATTGAAGAAGAAGAGGAAATGTAGGCTAACTTTATGGTATCATCAAGTTAGAATGATGCATGAATGATATATTTATAGTTGGACTCTTTTTAGGTAAAAGAGGGTAGTTTCGGAATGAAAAAATGACCCACAAACTAGTATGTGTCGACCTGAATGTTATGTGTCGACACATGCAAAATAAGAGTTTTTTGCTTTAAAAATGCAGCACATGTGCTGACCTGAAAATCGTATGTGTCGACCTATGTGCCTGTGTTTTAAAGCAGAAATGTTGAAAGCTTTAATAATGCAGTACATGTGCTGACCCGAAAATCTTATGTGTCGACCTGTACTAAAGCTTTTAATAAAATGCAGAAATGCAGAATTTATATGTCAACACATAGAAATTTCAGGTCGACACTTAAGTGCTGATTTTGTGCAAAAACTGACTTTTCATGATTGAGACCAATTTTAAAGTTGTTCTAAATGATTCCTAAGATCTCTAATGCAAGGGAGTGCCACAAGAAATAAGGATACCGTCCACCATACTAAAATGCTAGCTTTCTGAGTTTTGACATCATGTAAAACATCTAATAGTGAATTTGCACTCACAGAAGCTCCTCGAGATAGAAAGTGATCGACTCAGATTTTCCCTTGAACCATTCAAGGGTTACAGCCTGGACCGGGGCTGCATTTATCATCTCGTTGAATTTCCTCTTTGCTGAATACACCAAGATGTCGTTGAATCCCCGCCAAATATAACCACGGCGGAGGGGAATTTCTCCCACCTGCTGTGGGTGAACAAAGGTTATTTGTCTTCGAGGCCATCGGGGATGCAAAAGTCTTTGTGCCGAGAGACGCAGAAGGCGACCTGGAGGGGGCCGGATTCATTGAATGGTTGGGTATCCTTTTAAATTTCTTTCACCTCGCGGGTATCCTGGTGAAGGGCGTAGTTTCTCTTGTACTGTCCGAGTCTCCCCGCCCTAATGAGAGTCTCGATACCATCCTCTTTTATACCATTCCATGGTAGTTTTCCTCATTATCATGGGGAATAATCTGCACTTGATAGGACCCCCGATATTGTGATAGTAAAGCATCACTTTGAAGCCGTCGAGGTGATCGATGGGGTCTGCAACACCATCATAACTGTTCAGAGGGGGGGAGGGGTTTCTCCATTCCCTTAGAAATAGGGGCCTCCATAATGGCCTGGGACAGTGGACCACAAGAGTCGTATTCGTCGCTTCGTTTCAGAGACTGAGAGGGGGAACGGTTATAGCGGCGGTCTTTGTGTCGGGGAGGATTCCTCGACCGAGTCTTCTTCTCTTCGTCACCCATATTCCTTTTACATTCGGGAGATTTTCGTTCCTTGTGCGGGGTGTGTGACTGTGCTTTTTGACGACTTCTAGTTGGGTCCTATTCAGTGCAGGGTCTCACCCCGTGCGGTGGGGAGAGGGGCTCCAAGAATTGTCCTGTTTGTGTCTTCACGGGGGAGATCGGTAGCGGTCCTCATGTCGTCGGGGAGGTGGTGTTCATGAATCACGTCTTCAATGTTTTTTGGGGGACCTGCGGGTCTTTTCCAGCATTCCAAGGCGTTCACCCTGCGCGAAGATCCTGTAGTTAGTTTGGTTGATCGCCGCGAACAGGGCCTTGGTCATGGGGTCAGCATTCTCAGACAGGGGATCTCCTGATATACTGCAGGCTCATAGTCTTATCAAGGAGAGTTGGCGTCGCTGCACGGTTGCAAGCGGGAGGAGGAGCATGCGGTCATCTCGTCCCTGATGTCGAGCTCGTGACTGCCAATATCGTTATTGTTGCCAGGGTTGGAGAAATGAACATTTTGATCACCGTTGTTGATTTGGTCAGCCATGACGATTGGAAGGTTTAGAATTGATTTAGTCTTGAGCTACGGAAAGACGAGGAAGAAGTATTCCCATAGACGGCGCCACTGATTGTACTTGATCAGAAGAAATTGTCATTGGCCCGCGAGCTTGAGTTGAAAGGCAGTTGTTGAGAGTGAAGTAGAGGGGGTGTACCTATAAGATACTCTGATGTCAAAGTAAGAGCGAGAGCAATCAGAGTGCAAGTACTATAGTAAGAGTGATTGAATGAATACCTGACCCTCTCAAATGAGAGGGTATTTATAGCCCCTAACTCTTGGCCAAGGTCCCCATGTTGGGCTGATTAAGTTGGCCCAAAATGGAGACTGTCAGGACCTACGTGTGTAATGGAGACCAACATGTGGTCTCCATCCTGAATGAACTACTTTGAACTATCAGAGAGACGTGGATGCGGTCTTTTTGGGATCAAGAAGGCTTTGTGATATTCGGAGGCATTGGGCGCCTGTCCTACGAGGAGGGTGCTCGCGAGGACCTCTTAGGTGCTGCTGATCCTCCTCGATAGCCATATGGTGCGGATGTCCTCAAAGGACATGTCCTCGAGATGAGGAGTGGAATCACTGCCCGACATGGTTAAGGGAAGACTCACTCCTGCTAGTCCTCTCTTGTAATATAGTTGAATTGGGCCTTGTATGATGTTTGGGTTAAGGGCGAGTCGAGTCCAGAACACAAATTGTTATTTTTTAATTATTGATCTACTGAAGTACTTTTAATTTTAAAATACTGATATGATATAATTGAATGTTATAATTCTATTGGATGATATAAAACTAGTTTACACACAATGCATTACCTTTAATTTCTTATAATTAATATAAAATAGGAGATATAATAAATTAAAAATATTAATTAGATACAAAGATAAAAAAAAAATTAAATTATATAAAAAATTAAATTTTGATCGAACAATCATTATTAGGAGTGTTCAAAATTAAACCAACTCAATAGAAAATCGCAAACCAAATCAAACCAAACCGAAATTGCATTTGGTTCGGATGTGTTTGAGTCATCTTTTAACAAAATGCATGGTTCGGTTCGATTTGCAATTTGTATTTTGTAAACCGAATCCAACTGAATCAAACCGCATTATGTTACAACCTAAATTTTACTTAACTCATATCCAACCCAAACTTAAACATACTATGCCTTAGCCTTATGATTACGAACATTTTTCTTATCCTTACACATATAGTTTCAGTCTCAGTCTTCTCAAATTTCTCATAGTCTTATCGCGCCTTCTTCACAACATACATATCGCTTCTTCTTCTCTAATTTCTACTCTCTTATATTCTTTCTTTTTCACCTTCTCATTTTTATGCAAATATTCCCTATTTCAATTTTGTTTTTATCACACATCTTCTTCTTCAATCTCTCCTCTCTTATGTTCTTTCTTTTTCATCTTCACTACTCTCTCATCTCTTCTATTTTTTTTGTTTCATTATAATATATTTGATATTTTTTTATGCTATTATTTTATATTTATTATTCCACTTTTGTCTAATCTAATATTTACATATTAAATGGAAAATTGTTGTCAAAATATGATGAGTTTTGTTGTTATTTGGTAGTGTATGAATGACTAAATACAAAATTATATTGTCATCTATAAGTGTATGTATAGATCAATAAAATATTTGTAAAATACCGAACCAACCAAATCGAATCAAACCAAATCGCATTGGTTTGGTTTGGTTCATTTTTTTTTCCTAAAAGCAAACTAAACCGCATGTTTTTTCTCTTGTGGTTCAGATGATTTTTATCGTCAAAATCGATCAAACCGCACCGCGAACACCCCTAATCATTACTAATCCTAATGCATGAATGTGTGAATTAAGGACAAATTTCCTTATTTTAAAGAGAGTAAGCATACTCTACATTTCTTTTTAAAAAATAGATACTTTAAAGCGTTTAATAGAATAAAATGTCAGTTTTTAAATCAAATTGTTGAGAATTAAGTGTGAGGAAGAAGTCTCACATTGATTAGAAAATGGAAGATTGGACACTTTATAAGTGAGATAACTCACATACCTATCATCTTAAGATTTTAGGTGAATATGTAGTGTCTCTCTCACTTATGTGTTGCTCTTGACTTAATGTTAAATGCTCCTTCTTGTTGACCCCCAAATTACTTCTAGTAGGAGGGATATCAAAGCTGGTTTCGAGTGAAGGGACCAACTTACTTGTATCAAAAGTACTTCCCACAAGTGGTTGATAAGAGTGTTAACTTGTGAGCATTAAACTCACACTACACTTACTTGTATCGAAAGTACTTTCGAGAAGTTTCACATTGATTAGAAAAGATGATCATTTTATAAGTGAGAAAATCTACACACCTATCACCTTAAGATTTTGGGTGAATATGTAATGTATCTCACTTATGTGTTGAATATTATCTAAGTTGGTTTGAGTTAGTTAACACAAATAAGTAATTTCTTTTTTTTTTCAATAATACCTTTTTTGTGTTAGGTAAATGAAAAACAATATGTTGATATGATGATAGACGCTTTAAATCTACCGTAATCAAGGATGTTTGAAATAAATGATCAACTAGATCATATAATAACTGAATCATATTGCGCCATACTAAACCAAACCTTTAACGTAATTCAGTTTATGAATAATAAACACCTCTAACTGTATTTAGTTTAATTCCTATCAATAAAACAAAAAATTTTAAAAACAAAATGTACAACACACAAACATAAAAGCCCTATACAAGAATAACCAAGACTGAATATCTCAGGATTTACATATCAATTTTCTCAATATATTACAACACACAAAAAAAAAAAATTACAGAAAATTATTGTTACTGTTATCTTGGGCCAGAAAGACGAACTGCTAATAAATAAGGATCACTATTACAATCTGATGGACCAGAAGAATTTCCTCCTTCACTAGATGATTTAAACACATTTGCATAAAGTCTAGAACCCAAATAAGAACTAGTTGGTGGTTTAGGAACAGTACAAAGACCTTCCAACATTTGAACAACCTTTGTCATTGATGGTCTCATTGACATGTCTTCTTGTATACACCACAATGCAACCCTTATAGCACAATGTACCCTATCATCATGCTCATCAATTTTCAGCTCCGAATCAAGTATGTCCCTCATTTTCCCTTCCTCCATCATCTTGAATGCGAAACTTGGGAAATAGTTTTTCTCTGAACTCTCGTCAGTATCATAGTTCTTCCTCCCACCAATAATCTCTAGCAACACCATTCCGTAGCTGTATACGTCGCTTTTCTCTGATATAGCGTAGTTTGTTATCCACTCTGGTGCAAGGTATCCGCGCGTTCCTCTTAGTGTTGTGAAAACATGGCTTTGTTCTCTGTTCATGAGCTTGGCTAAACCGAAATCAGAGACTTTAGCCATGAAATGATCGTCTAGAAGTACATTTTCTGGTTTTATGTCGCAGTGGACAATCTTTGAGTCACAATCTTCGTGCAGATATGCTAGCCCTTTCGCTGTTCCTACTGCTATGTTATACCTTGTATCCCAATCCAAAAGAAATTCGCCTTTTTTCTTCTTGAATATCCATTTATCCAACGAGTTATTAGCCATATACTCGTAAACTAAAAGCCTATGAGTTCCGTCTGCGCAAAATCCCTTAAGCCTTACCAAATTAAGATGATGAATGCTTCCGATGATGCTAACTTCGGCTCTGAACTCTTTCTTCCCTTGACCGATACCTTCCAATTGCTTCACAGCTAATTGAGTTCCGTCAGGTAGAACTCCTTTATAAACTGAACCAAAGCCTCCTTGACCAAGCTTCACTGAGAAGTTATTAGTTGCAACTTCGAGATCTTTGTATCGGTAGCGGATTGGCATACCGGTTAAATTCTCCAAGAAATTGTCCTCTTCTGAATTCTCTCTTGGAGATTCAGGTAACCTTTTCTTTTTCCTGTAGTATCTAACCCCAACAAAGATCAGAACAGAAATCACAAACAAAGTTAATACGACAATAACAACAATGACAACAATATGTGCAGGTCTAACTCCACTTCCTTTTTTGCCTCCATCACTTGATACCTTAATGTAAGAAACATAACCATTATCACCATTCTCAGATTTCTGAAAACTTCCCACACTTTCCAAAAGGAAACAGTTTCCCGAACTCTTATGGAAGAACATTGCAAGACAAGAACAATTTCCTCGGCACGACGTTTGACAGCCAGCCATATCAGTTTTCGAAAACGGCTGAAGATAATCAAGAGCAAAGTAACCAATCCCATCATCACCTTTCACAAGTTCAACAGATTTTCCTGGTTTACCATCATCACAAGGAGAAACAAAACCAGGTTTACAGCTCGGAACTACAGAAAGACAGCTACACCTGCTACTAAGATTAGCCGTGCATATACTGTAAGGATCACAAGGCTCCGGTGTGCTACAAGGATCCTGCGGTATCCTCGTCGATGAATCACCGTTCAATCCACCACTATTGAGATTCTTGAAACTTATAACACCATCCCGTCCCAAAACAGCAATCCATGTTGCATTCACACCAGCATCAGCCGAAAAAATGAACTGCCACAACAAAGACTTCTTCTCATCATAAAATCTCCAAGAATTATCACTTAAATTCGCCGAAACCACAACATCGCCGTCCTTATCAACCGTCTTCCGGTTATCCTTCTGCATAGTCCAATAAACCTGAGGTATCTTAAAAGCAGCAGAAAGAACAACATTCCCAGATTCAATCTCAAGAACATAAACCAAACCATTCGAACCAGGTTCACTAGTAAGCTTCATACCCTCCTTAAAAACCTGTTGAGGCAACAAAGTATCAGTCGGAAAATCAAAACTCTGCCAAATCACCGTACTGTTATTATCACCCCCAAGCAAAACCAGGTTTCCATTATCCTGCAACACCATTGAAGAAACCCCTTTGTTAGTTGTGTTTGTAGACCAAATCAAAATTCCATCTTTAGATAAAAAAACATTTCCTTTTTTATCAAAGACCATGTTATCAGAATTGGAAACAGGTTTTTCTCTATTTGCAGTCCAAATCACGGTGGAGCTTGATACGTGGAGGACTACTAGAAGAAACTTGGTGGAGTCGTTGACGGTGGTGATGAAACTGAAAGCGAAATTTAGGTTTTTTGAGAGGAGGAATTTACCGTCTCTGTCAATCCAGTTCATTTGTGAACCTTGTGTCCCAGGTAAGATTTTGCCGATGTATTGGGTACCACAGAAACATGGCTTTGACATGAAGAGGATTAAGATAGAGAGATCAACAACGTAGGAGAAAAACAAATGTTTTTTTGCCATGTTTAATTATGGAAGTTTGTGAAATGAAAAATTTGTTGAGAGGGAAGAGAAGCAGAGAAAGTAGAAGAGTGTTAGCTGGCAAGTGTAAATGGATGAACTAGATGTGAATTTGAACGGGATTCGGGCTTGGGCTTGGCCATGGGTTTGAACACGGTAAGAATTTTACATAAGACAATCGATTTTTATGGATGAATTAAATCGGACAATATATAAGTTATAAAGTTGATTTTATATAAATAAATTAAGTCGGATAATATATGAGTTATAAAGTGCATTTTGTATGAATGAATTAAGATTAATTATATTTTTTAATTTAATATCAGAGTCTCGTTTATGATATATCGGATAAATTTTAGTTTAGACATTGCGAAGATGTCATGAAACATGTAGATTTGACTTTGACTTTACTTGCATCATGACCGTGGTTTGAAAGGTGGTTTATTTGTTGTAACCGTGAAACAAATTAATGGGAGTGGTTTTTGTCTTTGTTTCGCACTACTTGTGTTATTTTAATTGTTTTTGCATTTACTATAGTTAGTGTGTGGGTTGACGAATTGACGAATCCGTGAACAGCTGCTTTTTCTATGTAAGTATGGAAAAAAGTGGTGGCTAAAGTGGATACATTATTTTAAGTTATTAATTATTAATAAATTGTTGTTTGTTTCTAAGGTGACCATTGCATTTCATCACCACTGTGTAAAGTTTATGTATTAGTATTATTATTATCAAGATAAATACAGAATGATTTTGCGGTTGGATTTGTTATTGGAGAAAATGCTATGTATTTGCACTATTTGAACACGGGGAGAAAGACTCAAATGAATGGAAATTTAAATGTGTTATCTATTTTGCATTACTAATTAATGAAGCATTTATACAAGTACGGTATAATCACAGATGGACTATAAAGTGTCACAACAAATTTATAGTTGACTTTTAGTTATAGTTAATGTTTAGATATTGTTGAGATTTGTTTTCTTCTATTTCCATTATGTAGGTGGTTTATATATTTATTTCTCTATTATTGCTTGCTTTGATTCTCATTTTATATAATTTAGGGATTTTAATAGTATTTTTTTAAGGAAAATTGTGAAAATATTTAGCAAAAACTAAATATAGAAAGAACAATGCAAATTACTCTAGTAAAATGAAGGAGTTTGAGAGAGATGTTGTGTTCTTGTTAAAATGAAGAAACAACAATAACTAACATGTGATTAAAGTTAGAGAATAATTTGAAGACGAAAACTCTAATAAATTAGATCTATTTAAAATCTAAATTGTATACGGGTAAGATGGAGAAAGGCGCGTCAATCCGGAGTTACGTAAACAAGTTTGATAGGATTATATCATACTTAAAGGATATAAAAGTTAAGATTGATGAATAAGACCAATCACTCGTGTTGTTGCTACAAGTGGGATGTCGAGTAGTGGAAGAAAACATATGGAACAAGCTCAAGGATCATCTGCTACTAGGGGAAGGACTAATGAAAGAGGACGGGACAAGGCAATGGAAGGAAGTCTAGATCAAAAATCTAGAGCTTATGCATAAATAACATGCTTTAAGTGTGGTGAGCTTGGAAACTTAAAAGTAAATTGTCCAAATAAGAGGGTATTGTTTAAGAAGCAAACCAACAACAACAAAAACTCCAAATGCAAACAACAATACTTGTCAGAGGCGAGTTAAGTGTCGAATGACGAGGATGAATATTTCTTTATTTCAGAGAAAGACCATGATGTTTCCGGTAAATTGATGCTTGATTTAGGAGCCTCACATCATATGTGCCCAAATAGGAAGTGATTTACTAGCTACCAAAGTATAAATGGTGGAACTATTTTAATGGGAAACAACCATGTCTGTAAAATTATAGGGTATTGTGATATGTTGGGAGAACTGACTTGGTGTTTTGTATTTTATCGTAAATGTTGCGGATAGCAAGAGTCACCATCAACTTTTCTTTTATCCAATAAAGGAAAGAGTGAAAAGAACAGGAAAGACCTTTTGAGAATTTTCTTGAGTTCGGGGGGTAGGTTATGAAAAGGAAAGGTGTTAGCACCCTTTTCATCCGTAGTTATCTACAGGCTCTTAATTACTAGCTCATTTTGAAATGCTTTGTGTTTTGTGTAAGTTTGAAAATATTTTGAAAGTGGTGATTTTGTAATGATTGTCGTATCATTGAGAATGTATACAAAATGTTTGTTTGGAAATACTTTGAAAATGCCTTAGTATGACAAACTTTCACTACGCCGAAAAAGACTTACGAAAGCGCTTTTTTTGGCCTTTAAAAGCGCTTAAAAGCGCTTTCAAAGGTGGCGCTGCTATAGGTTTTAGCAGCGCTTTTTGTTTAATGAAAAGCGCTTTCGTAGGTCTACCTAATACAACACTTTTTCTAAAAAGCACTCTCTTAAGTAGGCTTTTGGCAACGCTTTTTTATGAAGAAGCTCTTTCATAGGTCTACCTAAGGCAGCGCTTTTTTCTGGAAAAGCGCTCTCATAAGTTTTCTTTTAGCAGCACTTTTTTCTGGAAAAGCGTTGTCTTAGGTAGGCTTTTAGCAACGCTTTTTTCTGGAAAAGCGCTTTCATAGGTGGTCTTTTAGCAACGCTTTTTCCTGGAAAAGTGCTGTCATATGTTTACCTTAGACATCGCTTTTTGTGAAAAAACGCTTTCATAGGTTACCTAAGGCAGTGTTTTTCTTGAAAAAGCGCTTTCATAGGGTGTTTTTTTTAGAGGTATAATTTATATAATTCATATACCTGCATTGTTTGCAGCATATTATTTATATAAACCAGTTGCCATAACCTGTAATTCATAAACCGCGGTAATGCATTGTATACCATTGTAATCCAAAATATATATACATCATTTTTGTACCTCAAAATATATAAAAACCATTGTTATCAGCATTATAACTCAAAATCAGTCTTACAAAATCAACCCTAACAACAACTAAACCAGTCCTAATGTATGAAAGAAACGCGGTCAATTATGTATTAAGGTCCTGATCCTGTGAGATTTGAACATAATAATACGGTCAATATGGTATTCCATGTACACATGTAACGTATTCATAACACTTTTCACATAATAATGTATTCATACCTTATATGATTCTCTGCTCAATAAAATATTGACACAATTCCTCTTTAATTTCTTCCAACTGAAGTTTCGTGTAATATGCACATTTGTATTCATCGAAGTACTACATAACAAAACATAATATGGATGATTTAGTTAAAAGTAAAAAATTATATGAAATATCCGAGAAATAATAAAACAAATCCTAAGTTATAAATCCATACCGTGACTGGAATCTCTATTTGATTCAGTTGAAGGATTTCTTTGATAAACCATATAACGAAGTATCCGCAATCTATACCGTGTTGCTGTTGAGGACACTACATAGAAAAACAAATAAGAATATAGAGTTGTATTGTTTTATCAAATAGCATAAGTATTATAAGCAAAATAGTCGAAATTAATATACTTGCACTTTGATCCAATTAATGTTGTTTGATTTAGACCGTCGTACCCGAGCTTCTCTTTGACACCGGAATACTTGTATCGCTCTAACAAAATAAAAATATATATTTAGAACAATGTCACAGAAATAATTAAATATATAAATACACACAAATATTTAGAATAATCTCACTTACGTATCAATCATTAACTTCATATCCGGATAATTTTTCCAATCACCGTCAACCGAATTCAGATAATAGACCACTTCTTTTATAGGATCGATAGCAACCAACAACCAGTGACGTCTATAAATTAAAACAACAGTTTAGAAGAAAATTTTCTACGCAAAAATTACAAATATTAAAATGAACTTAGAATGAAAATCTAACCCTGTAGGAATAATATTATACGCCCAAAGATATAAGCTTTCTGTACTGCCAGTTGCCATGAATCTTTCGACTAAGTGCTCTCTTACTGAATCCGGTCCCCTACCAATTGTCGCTCCGCTGACACGAGAGGAAGACACGAAATGGAATTTGTTTGACAATTGATTCCCGCGCATCAATTTGTCATATAACAACCTTAAATAAAAACATAATCAATATTAGACTATATTCATTGAAATGTTTTAAAAAAATTCAGCTAATTACATAATATAAAGATGGGGTTACCGGATGTATGCGTGCATAATACTGACGCCTAATTATTTATGACGGAAAATCTCTTCCACGTCCTCATGTCCAATTATTTCGGTGCAAGGAAAACCAAAGATACCTTGATCCATATCCATTTGACGAATACCACCATCCATCAAATCTGTTGTTCCCACTATTGTTTCAAGACACTGCCGGTATCGAGGGAAAAATCTAGTTGGAACCCTTTTCTTGGGTGGTACGCCAACGGTTTTCTGGCTCACTTGTTGTGACCCTTGAAAAGGTACCTAAAAATCATATAGACTCAGTTAAATTATAAAATTATGCAGTTTTTTATTCGGATCATATAATTAACACTTTAAACGTACCTCTTTTTGTGATACATCAGACTCGTCGTGCCTCAAAATCCCTTTACCCTTAGATGCAGGTTTTGTAGGAGTCTATAATTACCGTGGAAATAACTGAGGTCAGAACTGACAGTTGAAGACTTAAAGATTCATAATGGTTTTCAACATACCTGATCATCTATGAAAATGAGGTCCGATGGCCATGCAACAAAAGATCCTATTGCATCTCGCAGCAATGTGGTCTCAGCAACAATGTCAGGTACCGGCAGCAACGCATCCATATCTAAAGCAATATCAACCGATACTTTCATGTATCCATCCGGAAGCGGTCTATGGTGAAGTAAATCTCCCAAATTGTTATAGACTTTTCCCTTGCATCACTTCTGCATTGCTAGGATTTCTTCTCCTTGGATGCTTATACAAAGAGGTTGGAGTCACACCATGACCTTTACCCCTCACCCGACCCGGATACTCAGCAATATTTAGTGCTCGACTAAGTAAGCTCCTGGTATCCTGATCCTCACCTGGGGATACCGATTGCGACAAGGTCTCCTGTAATTCATTTATATATCGAAAATTATTAGTGGAGATAAAAAATTATTTAAATATTAATAAACATTTGATTTAATTAAAGACACAATCTTATACTTACACATTCATCATACACATGTTGAAGATCGGGATTAACAACTTGATCCTTTCCCACGCGAGCTTCCTTCCACAATAAATGTGCTGGTAGTGATGTTGCGTCACTTTTTGTCTCTTCTAACTACGCATTCACACAAGTCTTAAGATCATCAATTATAACACATTGAGAGAATTAATAAGATCGTAAAGTTTATATTTACTTACAATTTTTTCCTCTAAGCGAGCATATCCCAAACGCCCTTTTTTGTATGGATATGCGAGTTTTGATGCTCTCTCGCAATTGATGGCACTCACTTTCTTGAAATTCTCGTCTCTTCTTTGGCCTACAAAACCAACCCATTCTTCAGGCGTAATGAAGTTCTCATATTTCTTTGGACGTTCCGGATCCTCTTCAAGAAAATTTCCTTCATCATCTTTAAGATACTTGTTTGTTAAAAATGTTCTCCACCCTCTGTGTCTTTTTCCAGCCAAACCCGTTATATACTTTTTACGGGTATCTTCAATGTTAAAAGACCTCTACAAAAAAACATACGCATAAAGTGTGTTAGTAAAAGCAATTTAAACACATATTATCGTCAAGATAAAGCAAATAACAAAAACCATATATGTACCTTTATCTCAGTCCAAACTTTCTCTTTACCCTCATCCAACTCTCCTCTTTTCCACCTAGGAGTGGTGATCGGAATGTGTATACGAACAAGCGTACCAATGTAGCTTGTCAACTTTGCAGCATTAGACCCAATTAGTTGGTCATTATCATTCCAATCTACATTATATGTTACTCCTCTATCTCTATCACAGATGATTCCCCTCATAATAGTTATACCTCATGTAATATCTTTTTCTGAAGTCTTTTCTGAACTATTTTCTGGAGCATTTTCAGGAGCATTTGCATCTTGTGAGTTTTCTTGATTACTATCCATTTGACCTGTAATAATGAAAAAAAATAAAAATGAAATGACAAATATAAAAATGAAATGACAAATAAAAATGAAATGACAAATAAAAATGAAATGACAAATAAAAATGAAATGACAAATTAAATTTTATTGAATGATATAGGCTATAATTATATATACTATTACCTTTTTCACTAAGGTCTCTTTCTTTTCTTGGTAGGAATGTGTTCTACTCGTCTCTTAACAATGCGGACAGTTGGATTGATCCAAATACCCTTATTATGCTAGTTTTTAATGCATAATTGTACTCATCGGCTGCTATGTTTTTATTTTTGTCTCTACCTGCATTTAGCGTTCCTGTATACGCAATTTGGTTCATAGCAGTTCTTCAATTATTTTTCTGTGCAATATTGCATTGCTGCTTTTATGGTTTGTTTTACTGCATAACTTTGTTTCTGTGTAATTCTGTTTTTATGGTTTAGCCGAAATATGGGTTGTGAGATTTGGTTGTATATGAATTGCTAGTTTGTTTACAGGTTGCTGGTTTGATTTAATTGTGTGATGAGAACAAACATTAGCAATAGCAATGTGAGCCATCAAATCAACGACAAAAGCCATAAAGCGCAAATAAATCATCCATATAAGGTACTAACAAATAATGTGATAATTATATTCAAGAATTGGTTAAGGTTTTTTGTCTCTCTTTCTACCTAGAAGAGAAACACTAGCTATTTTGATCAAACCGAATACTAACCAAAAAAAGAAGAAAAAAAAACAGAAGATTATTATCACTAATAATTTAAATCTATGCATCAATTGCCTGATTTTGACTAACCATCTTCACAAGATTGTTAACAAAGTCCACATACTTCATTGTTAATTTGGTTATAGGAGAAGCATTGGTAAGAATCTGGAATGCTATTGTAAACAAATATCCTCCCTCTGTATTTTTCTCCTCCCGCCTCGAAGTAATTACCATTGGCCTTGACTCTAAGCCATCAGGAACAATTGAGAATCCTGACGGCAGTATTGCAAGATTGCTCGAATCGCATCCTGTCATCATAGACTGAATTCCAGTAATGTCCACAGGAGCATACACCACCATTGATTCACAAGAGTTTGTGCAGCTATCTTGCAGTATCCCCCAATTCATCATTCCCGTCACTTTTCTCACCATGCATATTCCAACATGTATAACTTCTATCAATTCCATACCATATTAAATGCGATGCCAACTGAACCACGTCAACCCGATTCCCATAACAGCAACACAAACAAGAACATGTTCTCTAAAGAAGTCATGTTCTCTGTACATGAAAGAACCAATAAAACACAACAAACCAAACACCCATGACATAATTAAACGTAAACAAAGACACTCTCCATTATGTGTGACACTCTCCATTATTTCTCTCTTAGCATGTTACTCTCCATTATTTCTCTCTTAGCATGTTACTTCTATGCACAACTTCTTAATAACTTCTATAACAGTAGAAACCATGCTTACTCAAAATCATTAACCAAATAAAAGCACACGAAAACCAGACTAACACATACGAGATGAGGAAAAAAATGAAACCTGATACGAATTGCAGTTGGCCGGAGAAGTGGAGCACCATTGACCGCCGTAGAAGCTCTGGTTTAGGGTTTTTTCGTGAAGAAAATCTGACTGAGAATAGAAAAGTGATACGAATTGTGTTTTGATATTTATTATAAAACTACCTACGAAAGCGCTTTTAAAAGCGCTTTCTAAAGATCATCTATAACAACGCTTTTACATCAAAAAGCGCTTTCGTAGCATATCCTATAGCAGCGCTTTTAAAAGCGCTTTCTAAAGGACAGCTTTAGCAGCGCTTTGGAAAAGCGCTTTCTAAGGCTGACCTTTAGCAGCGCTTTTGAAAAGCGCTTTCTTAAGGTACCCTCTGAAAGGCCAGCTTTAGCAGCGCTTCCCAAAAAGCGCTTTCTAAGGGTGACCTTTCAAAGCGCTTTTGAAAAGCGCTTTCTTAAGGCACCCTTTCAAAGCGCTTTTTTAAGCGATTTTTTTAAAACCTACAACAGTGCTTTTTTCCAAAAGCGCTTTCTTTTATGTGCTGCTAAAACTTATTTTTGGCGTAGTATTTGTAATGATTATCGTATCGTTGAGAATGCATACAAAGTGTTTGTTTTGAAAAATATTTATTTTGAAAAGAGAGTGTTTGAAAAGATGTTTGTTTTTGAAAGTGTGAGGTGTGAATGGTTTTAGTTTGTGAGCAAGCAATTACGAGTAATCTACCTACTCAAAAAGTCTTTGTTCTTTTCCTCCTCCTTTAGATAATGTTACTTTACCATTGATTGGTAGAGAGCCATATCATTGGATGTGAGGGACGGTTGTGGGTCATCGTACAGTCATAGAAGGAAACTTGTAAGATGTTTAAACAATTGTCGTAAGGAACTAAGATCGTTGACCGAAGGCAACATTGAAGGGTTATCGAGGGAATACAATCTTTTAATCGAGGGTCTTTTCTAAAACATCCTACGTTCGAGGGACATGACTGTTTTTCCGAGGCAACAAGCGAGGTTATCCTAGAGGTGCACGTGTGAATAATGTTTGATTTAATTTAATTGCTCTTAATTAGGGTTATATAACATTTTATTTTAAATTTTGCCATACACGCCTAATTACTATAGAATTGTATATATACATACAAGCATAGTTATAGGTGCGAAAAGTAAAGTGCGGGAATTAAAGTTCTACGCTATTACAAGGCTTCAGGAGTAGGGGTACAAATTTATGAATGGGGATGAAGTAAAGGCCTAATTAAACTATTACAAACCATAAACAGTTACAATAATCAAAAGAATGCAAAAATAATAAATTACACGAAAAAAGAAAAGGGAAATTGTTTTTTATGGTTTTATCAAGTAAGAGAATTAAATCAAATAAAAGCTATGAACGAAGATTCAAGAATTAAAATTCTAAATAATATTTTTGGTATTTTGTTTGTGATTAAATTTGAAAAAATAAAAATCTATTCTATTATTTTTTAGAATTTTTGTTTATCATGAAGAAAATAAAACAATTAGAAGAAATCAACTAAAAAATATTAAAAATAGAATAAAATGACTAACTAAATTAAAACAAATATTAAATTAAATTCACAAGGTTACTAAGTTGATCTTAAAACTAAATTAGTTAAGAAAATATAACACTAAGAATTAAAGTAAATCAATTAGTAAACCAATAGAGTTAAGAAAATTTAATTTATACAAATTAAGACCAAAGGGTGCAAGCAGAACATGGGGGTGGGTAAGGTGAGTTTCGGATGGGCCAGGATATAGGAACTGATTAGCAAGGCCCAATGGAAAAAAGAAAAAAGATTTTAAGAAAAAACATCAGCAGAGAGAACCGGGTTGACCCGGATTCGGGCCCAACTCCTACTAACTAAAAGAAGCATATGGGTTAGAAACCCTATCAAAATCAAGCCAGCGCTTCAAACTATCCTCTATTCCAAAATTCCTTTGACCGTACTCCTCTTCCTCCCGCTGTCTCTCTAGCTCCCTCATCATCTTTGCCTCCCTAGCCTTCCTCTTCTTCTCCCTCTGATACTCTTCAGTTTCAGGTTCAAAACCTTCAGTTTCTTCTCAACTCATAGCTGTAATGTATAAACAAATTAACGATTCCAAAGCATACAATACGTTTTTATCAAAAATCACATACTCATAAAATTACAAGTCTGAAATCACATTTACGCAAGCAAGATGAAGAACTTAAATATTGCTAGATAATGAAATGCGAAAGGAAATGAAGCTTACCGATCGAAGACACTCTGGTGGCGTTTCAACTGTGACGTCGTTGAAGATATGTCTGTGATGCTTCAGTTAATTCGCACTGCTTACTCCTTCTTTCTTCGTACTAATTCAGTTTTTGTCTTCTCTGCGTTTTGTTATTGTGGATTTAGTTGTGTGAGCATCGATGTCGTGTGTGTGATGAAGGTTGCGGTGAGGTTATTATTTGGGTCAGTTTCTGAGTGTTAATTGAAAGTTGAGATTTAGTTTGTGGATTTAGCTCAGTCGAATGTTGGAGGTGTGAAGGTGTCACAGTTTCTTTTATGTGAAGTATGCGATTTATGTGAGGTTTTTGTTGTGGTTCTGTATGCGTAAGGCAGGTGATGAGAGTTGTTGACTGAGGTGAGTTGGGTTACGACGGAGTGAGGATTTGTAAATGGTGGTGATGGGTTGCGGATTTGAATAGAGGGTGATGAATGTTTTTTTCTGTATGAGTTTGATGGTGATGAAAGGGTGTTAAGCAAACTCAATGAAGAGTGTATAGAGGGTTTTTTTGGATCAAAATTTTGGGAGTGATTTTCCGTGTGTTTTTTCCGTGCCCTGGGATTTCTGTTCCTTTTTTTAATACAGGGGCTTATAGTATATTTTTATAGATGAGATAGGGTGCAAATTGGGGGGAAGAGTTGGTGGAGTTTGGACAATCCTGGCATACTTTTTTAAGTTTATTTGATGCAGATTATGTTTGATATATTTTTGTGTAATTGCTGGACAGGTTTTTGATGCAGATTATGGATAACATTGCAGGTTTTGAAGCAGACTGTTTTGGACTGGTTATGTGCAGATTAACAGCTAGTGCAAAGCTGTTTTGTAGCAAGTGGGCAGCAACCTTTGGACTGCTTTGTGTATTTTTTATTTGACTGTAATGCAAATTTTTATTTGGCATATTTCGGGAAATTTTTTAGCAAGGTTTGTGGACTGTTTAGGGGCAACATGGTAGACAAATTTTGGATAAATTTTTTACTATAATGCAGGGTTTAAATGTTTGTAGCAAGGCTTGAAGTGGCATAGAGAAACATAGGTTTAGAACTTAGGAATTTTTATGTAACTTTGAAACTTTGAAACTCAAAAGTCTTGTATCATTATGAATTTATTCAAGGTTTGATTTTGAACTCTATGTAATTCTTTTTTCTTGAAGGTTGAATGCACTTGAACAAATTTCCTTGGCGACCTTATGACAATTAGGAACTTGAGTTGATTCTTGGATTTAAAATGATGGTGAATTGAATGATACATGAATGAAGTTTGATCTTGAGAATGGACACTTCAATAATGATACATGAATGATGAATGTATTTGAAATTTTCAATCAATTCGAATCTAATGCCATTTTCCAAGTGAACCTTCAAATCATTTCCAATGAGACCCTAATCCAAATCTTCAATTCATGGTAAATTTCAATACAAGCCAATAGTACTTGAAAGAATAATGATCCCTTAAGAACTTTTGTCTAAAATCCACTTTCATCCAATAATCACCAAATGCTCAAACATAAGTAACTTGAAAAAGCAACAATCATTCAAAGAATTCTCGAACTCAAAATCTTGTACCGTGAACAATCCTGACATAAGAATCAATGTCTCAAGAACAATTATGGCACGACTTGGAGTTAGAAGTTAAGAACATTCTAAATCAAGAAAATGGCCTATAATGTTTCGATAAGTTTCATAGCCCTCAAAGCATAATTTAATTCTGATCCTTGGTGAAAACTTGTAGATGACATCGTCTATGAGAATGTGCAAAAAGAATCGTCTTAAAATGTTAAAGATCGAGGAAGTTATAATCCACGAAAGTCGGGCAACAACTACTTGAAATTAGGTCAAACTCGTAAAACGACCTCTAAAGTATTCGAGATTCCAATGATCCTCCGCGCATAATTAGCTCTTGACTTGTAAAGAGAACTTGGAGATGACGTCAAGGAGAGTCATACATAAAAAGAACCACTCAAAAATATTGAATAATGAAGAAGTTATGGTCGTTTTAACTTGAACTTGCAGACGTTGACTTTTTTCCCAATATAATTGATTTTCAGTCATCTGAACCATTGACTGAGCAAACTTGTGATGCAAGGCTCAAAACTTGACATGAGAATCCTTGAGGACATATGAAGAACCATAAAAACCACTTGAGACCTTTGAAATTCAATCTTCCTTTATAAATATAAAACCCTAGTTGTGGACCCATTGTTTAGGAGGAGAATTTGTTTGATCAATTCTTGAGCCACCTTGAGCATTTGAGAACCCTATGAGAATATCTTGAATGAAAAATAAGAGGGAAAATTTTGGGGTACAACAACTGTCTTTGTTAAATCTTCTTAAACCTGAAGAGTTA